GGAGCAGGGAGGAACGGCGGAGAAAATGAGAAGCCAAGGCCTCTACAACATCCAGCAGACCAAGTGCAAACAGCCCAACTGCAGCTTTTACGGACACCCAGAGACCGGGAATTTCTGCTCGTGCTGTTACAAGGAGGAGCTGCGGCGCAGGGAGAGGGAGGCGCTGGTGCACAGGTTCTGAGCTCCCCCTGTGCACGTCGGACCCCTGGCACGTGGGGGATGCAATAACAGAGATGCAGTTTGGTTTCTCACACCCAGCCACGCTCCTCTCGCGCTCTGCAGGAGGTGGGAGCAGCGTTGGGCCAGCTGGGATGGGCTGGTGGCGTTGATGGGTGCAGGAGGGAGAGAGCAGGGGAAGCAGCCCCTGAGTTCCTGGAGCCCCTGCAGGGGAGGAGAAGGATTCCCAGGGGGGCTGCTCGGCTCGGAGCACAGGGTGAGGGGGCAGAATTTCCTCAGAAACTCAATAAACCAGACCAAAGCTTTGGGAGTGGGCAGGGGGAGCAGCTCCCACCAGGTCCTTCCCACTTCCTGACCGCCTGGGACGGAGCAGAAATGCCCCATTTTGAGAGTCACAAAAGCTTTTAATGGAGTTTTTTAACACTGGTTTTATTCTGTATTTCTTCTTGCTGGTACTGAGCGACACCGTGTTGGAGTTGGACTTTGATGAGGTGAGGTGGCTTGGACGCCCCCCACCCAGTCCTGGGTGATTGTGAGCACCAGGACAGGCTCAGGGCTCTGTCCCCTCCTCTCCTCCCCATGAGCTGAACTCTGGTTTTAAAATGTTCTTTTTAAACTCTTCCTGAGGCAGGGGGGGACTCCCAGAGCTCGAGGGATTGGAGGTTTCTCTTCCTGTGCAGAACCCCCAGCCCACAGGAGATCCTGCCAGGAATTCCCAGTGAGCCTGGGGCAAATCCCCCAGGAAAAGCCACTGGAAAGGGGTCCCAGAGCCCCCCCAGCCCCGTGTAACTCCTACTTGAGCACAGCTACTCTGTACTACCTCTGATCCTGATTAACTCGGCTCCGTTGTGCTGAGCCACCAACTGACCTTTAGGCTGCGGAATTAATCCATATTTTTTGATAACAGGGCTAAAAAAAGCAGAACAAGAAGGTAAAATCCTCCTCCCACGTGTTGTTCCTGACCCCACCCCGGCCCCCTGGCTCCCAGGGTGGGATTCACTTTAGCACTGCGATGTTTGCACAGAATTCCTTGGGGTTGTTTTGGTGACTGCAGCTCCCAGACCTGGTCCTGCACGGAGTGAGGTGCAGCATTTCCTACCAACGGAAATAAAACAGGAGTTGTGTCCTTCAGCCAGAGCTTTACAACATTCCCTCCTTTCTATTTTTGGGTTGATTTTCCAGAAGGAATCGAACTATGCAACGCCTTCCTGCCCATGGCCATTGCCTGGAGAGGGGATGAGGAAGAGGAGCTGGAAGTGAGCTCGGGCATCACCCCACGCCTTACACTTGGCCCTAAAAGTGTTCATTTAGACCCAAAACCCCAGAGTTAAGGCCTTTCCTACACCTAAATGCCCCCAAATTGGGCCTTTCCTGGTGGGATCCCAACATTTCGAGTCCAGCCCAGCAAAGCTCCTTGTGTGCAGATTTTCAAATCCAAATTTCAGACAGCCCAGGGATGGTTTGATTCCAGTGTTGAGTTGTTTTCCCTGGTTTTATAAAATCCCCGAGCGTGGCTGAAGCTGTGGGAAGGGGAGGGTGTGACACCCACTCCAGCTGGCTCCTCTTACCTGGGAACAAATTCCAATTTTCTCCCTCAAAATGCAGGAATTCCAATGGACTTCAACCCCAGGCAGGGCCATGCAGTGCTGGTTAAACAGCACAAGCTCTGCCCCCATTTGGTTCACCCCAAATTTGAAGCTGAGATGGTTAAAACCCAACCCGAACCCTTCACTATTTATGGGCTCTTGGTTTAAATTCCACGTTCTGATGTTTATTTTTCCCCAAAATTGGAGCAGCAGCTTTGTTTTGGTGTTGGGAATGTCCTCTGGAGCAGGGATGCCCCAGGGCACGGGAGGGCAGGGGGAGCTGATGCTTCAGCACTCAGGTTTTGGGGGAATTTCTCTCCTTTTTGGGGAGCTCCATCCCAGTGGAGGCTGCATTGGGTGGGGATGGGGAGAAGGCAAAAAACCTGCAGGAAAAGCAGCAGTGCTGGAGGGAAAAAACCCCAAAACTGCAGGAGAAGCACCAAACCTGCCCCCAGGAGGGATTTTTCCATGGGGAGACTGTGGTGTGACCCCAAGGTCAAACTAAGTGCACTTAACTGGTGTGGTTGGAATTCCAATTGATCCTGGTGGAGGAAAACTTTGTCTTTCAGCGTGTGTAAAACCCGTTCATGAGATTTGATTTGATTTCATTAAATGAGATTCACCCTCGGCAGAGGAGGCCGGGGCAGCTTTGGGTCTCACTAACGCGACACTGAGTGACCTGAATTAATTCTGCAGTGGTTTATTCACAAAAAAACTCCTTTTTTTTTTTTAATTAATTCCAGATTAATTGGTGATATTTGGCCTCCTGAGCAGGGCCAGAGCGTTGCACTTGGGCTGTACCTGTGGCCTCGTTGTGGCACCACAGACTCATTGACAATAAAAACCTTCAGCTGATGCACCTGAGGCTCCTTCATCCCCAATCCCCTCCTGGGGCTGCTCCTCATCCCCTTCTCCATCCCATTCTTTGCGGATTTTGGGGTTATTATTTATATTATTTATTGTGTGATTCCGTTTTGCTACTAATTCTTGGCTTTCATTTAAAAAAGAACAGCCTCAAACACCCCTCCCTCCCTGTTTCTGTCTGTCCTTGCTGCTCTTTTCCCCACCTGCATCCCAAGGCTCCCTTTGGTACCTGAGGCTCCAAAATCAGGGATGAATCCCAGCACGGGCCACAGGGATGCTGAAGCTTTAAATGAAAAAGTTTTGGGGGTGGTTGGAAGGTGGGACCCCAGCACAGTTTCCCAAGGGATTTCTGGCCCTGGGATTTTCTCTCCCAGCTCTGTTTTTCCTTCCTCCGGGCATTGTGGGCGGACACTCCGTGCCCAGCTCCACCTCTGATGATTTTCCTCCAGGATCTTCCCTCCTGCCATGGCCCCGACTGACCCCGTCCGGGCTCAAAGCCTCCAGGAAATTCCTCTCATCTGCCAAAAGCTTTTCCCAGCCCCGGGAACCTCTGCCAGGTGATTCTGCTGCAGGGGGAAAATTGGGGTGCACCAACTGCAGCCTCCAAAGCTGCCACTGCCCCAAAAATCTGGGGGGAAACAGCAGGAACGAGAGCTGGAACTGGAGTTTCTGTGTGCCTGGGTTGTGTCAGGATTTATTTGGCTGCCTCGGGTTTGGGGTGCCCGG